TCACCTGCCTTTTTTAATTTGTACATGGATGAGCAGTCAAAAGAAATTAACCTCTGTAAACCTGGATGCATGATTGGTAATACGTTGGTCAATCACTTTATGTAAGCTGATGACCTGGCTGTCATAAGTTATTGAATATCTGCTCTGATTATGGGTTGAGAATTTATACACAGTATGCAGCAAGAAGAAATTTGTTTCTCTTAAGATTAGGGTTGCTTATAATAACTCTTTGAAAATTCTGCTTACAAAACCCACTTTCAGCAATGCAAGTGAGATGTTTTTTTAATGCACATGTCAGAACATTGCAGGCACTGATATCGAATATAAAGTTCATGTGTCATTTGAGCAGCTCATTGAACAGTCTTATTGTAATGTTTTCACATTTCTCTCTCAGTGTGCTAAAAAACCAGTTGGCTCTGTGGAAACATTGGTATGCAAGTGTTTTATAAGATTATTTTATGTTATTTTTATGTGATGTGTTGTTGTGTATTATCTCTTTGTGTCGTATATGATCTCTTAGTGCACCATGAGTCTGTTGAATAAAGCAATCACTGAACAAATGAAAATGTGTAAAGTGAACTCAAAGACTGACTGGAACTATGGTTGTAATGTTATTGGAGGCTTATTTGTGGTTCAGTAAAACAGGCCTTCTCCATACTTGGTAGTACATGCAGAAGAGCAACCTACAATCTACGAGGAGCAACCTACAGCTGATAAGCCCCAACTAGCAGCATCTCTTTGAGATGCCCTCTGGTGGAGACACTGAAAACTACAACCGAACTCCCTACCTGATGTTCAGCTTCAAAAAAACCAAAAAGAGTTAATGATAGAAACACATCTGTTGGTGCCTGAACTTGAAAACCTTGTAAAAGTATGATGCTGAGTTTCAAAATAATAACATTTCAATATCTAGAGAAACCTAAATTTACATTTAGGTTTATACAGAGCTTCTATAGTAGCTGATTCCGGTGCCTCCATATGGGGATCTGCTTACCAACCAAGCTGATGGATAACTGTTATTATTAAAAAAAATCCCAATATATTTTTCTTTTAACTAAAAGGACATGATTTCAAATGCAATTAAGTAAAATCCTTACATCAAATTTTACTCCACTAAATGTAAAAGTACTGCCTGTAGGGGATGGGTCAAAAGCAGAGAGTGAATTTCCCCATTGTAAATACTTCAGCCTAAATGACCTTCCCAAGGTGGCAACATAGTAGCTACTGTTACTTTCTTTTTTATTTCTTTTTATTTTAGCGTTTCAAGTTTAACTTCTCCTTATTTGACTATGCGTGTTTCCTTTACTTTTTGACATTTGACAGTTGTGATGACGTAGCCTGGGTGCCATTCCGAACTTAGTCCCACCCACAAAGTTTGAGGTCGGGAAGTTCGGTCTGGCTCTGCTCCATAGTAGCGCAAGTATTATCCATAGATATCCACAATAAAGGCTAGATGTCTTACGGCGGAGTCTCAAACGTCATCACCGGCGGCCATCTTGCCACAGGCAGCTCGCTCATTCGTAACATTGTGTTTTAAAGGTGCATGCACTTAAATAACCATAACTTCCTCAATTGTGTAACGATTCTCAAACTGTTTGGTTTGTTAAACAAAAGTCAGACATGTAGTTATGATACTGCACACTTATGAATAATTATAACCATGAAATTTCATATGAAATGCCATGGTTATAATTATTAATAAGTGTGCAGTTTCATAACTACATGTCTGACTTTTGTTTACCAAACCAAACAGTTTGAGAATCGTTAGACAATTGAGGAAGTTATGGTTAT